CGCCTTTGTTTAACGTAATAATAATATTAAGAATATTGCTCCCGGACCTCCTCTACATTCGACACTGGCCTTATCAATAATGCCAATTATATCTTATATTTTTGTTTAAATTCTTTTGTTTGTTTGATCTTTATGTATGAACAGAACATATTAACATATATTCATATACATTGTTTGTGTGTTGAAATTTTATAGTTAATTTTGTGTCGCGGGCATAGGGACATTTTGTCTTCGCCCATGTTTTTTCTCATAATAATAATAATAATAATTCTGTTCTGATAGCTTTTCAGGTCCAGTTGAAGTCCTATACAGAAGCGGCTAAAATTGGCACGGACTATTTCACCGAATGGTTTCTTCAACTTTTAGTAGTGGTTGTATGTATAGCACCTTATGCCTTAGGTAAGAGGTTTTTTTCAGTTCACTTAGTTCTTCTGACACCGATTCTGTCGTCTCCTTCCAGTTTAAACCTCTGGCAGTAATAGCTTTTTAAGAATTTTTAGCTTCCGTGTCTGCTTTTTTGTTGTTTCAATACCATATTTGTTGCTGTTGTTGTTGATGATGTTGTTGTTGTTGTTGATGATGATGTTGTTGTTGCTCTGTTGTTGTTGATGTTGCTGTGGTTGATGTTGATGCTTTGTTGTTGATGATGTTGTTGTTGATGATGATGTTGTTGCTTTGTTGTTGATGATGTTGATGTTGTTGTTGATGATGTTGGTGTTGTTGATGTTCTTGCTGTTATTATTGTTAATGTTGTTGTTGTTGTTGTGGTCAATGTTTCAAATTATTATTTTTAAATTATAATTATAAACAATGTTTATCATGTCTATTATTGTCATACTAAGTAAATTAATGATAAAAATAATATTAACAATAATAATAATAACAATAATAACAATAATAATAATAACAATAATAACAATAATAATAATAACAATAATAATAATAATAATAATAATAATAATAATAATAATAATAATTTTATTACTTCTGATTATTTCTTCAATATTCAACTTATCCTGTTCATCAGCTATAAAAAATTATTATTATTTATTTTATTATTATTGTTATTATTATTATTATTAGTAGTAGTAGTAGTAGTAGTAGTAGTAGTACTTCATTTTCAGCATCATCACCATCATTATCACCATCATCATCATTATCATCATCACAATCATAAACATCATCATTACCATCATCATTATTATCATCATCATCACAATCATAAACACCATCATTACCAACATCATCATCATCATCATTGCCATCACCATCATCATCATTACCATCATCATCAGCACCGTCATCATCAATGACTAACTTTTTGGACCGTGCGTGAAAATGAGCAGCTTGTCTGAGCTCTTGTCATAGTCCGTCAGTGTCATCCTTAGGGACTGCGGTGAATCAAAACAGCAGAACATTATATAGGGATGGACCGGATTTGAATTTTTCAAAAAATTTAACCCGATTTACAAACACCATTCATCCATTCTTTTCCTGATTTTGGAAAATCTCTAAATGGAAAACGTTGAGAAGAATGTACAATATAGTGCTGAGAAGAATGTACAATATAGTGCTGAGAAGAATGTACAATATAGTGCTGAGAAGAATGTACAATATAACATGACAGGCAACAAAACAATAATTTCTGGCGCGATAAATGATTTATTCATCCAGTCGTTTACATACTCTAACGTATGAGTCCAAAAAATCCAATCGGATCTCAGCAAATTTTCCAGAAAGTTTTTTAAAATAGGACAAAAAGTTACCGAAATCGCGCACACACACACACACAAACACACACCACACATACTCACATACACACACCACACACACACGCACGAACTCACACCACACACCACACATACACAACACACACACGCACCACACACACACTCACACATACTAACATACATACACACACACACACACATACCATTGATATGTCTGTTGGGGTAATACTTTGGATTATGACGTCATCCCTTAGGTTGTAACCCCCTATCGACCCGTCCACCATGTAGTCCGTGCTGGCCATCAGCTATAATAATAATAATAATAATAATAATTATAATAATAATAATTATAATAATAATAATAATAATGGTAATAATAATAATGGTAATAATAATAATAATAATAATGGTAATAATAGCAACAATAATAATAATGAAAGAAAGAAATAATTTTGTCTATTAATTTGTTTATTATATTTTTATCCAGTCTTCTTTTGTTCTGTCAATCACTCATCAAAGGAGTTGCTCATTCACTAAGTAAATAATTCATTCGTTTGTGCATTTTGTCATTCGTTCATTCGATCAGTCAGTCATTCATTCAATCATACATTCATGCATTCATTCATTCATTCATTCATTCAATAATTTAATATGGAGCAATGCGCCCAGCTATTTAATTGAACGAATTTTCATCATCCAAAATAGGTTCGTTGAGAATATATTTAACTTAACATTCAGATCCCATGTAAGTCATCCTTCCCAGTTTAATGGCTTCAACTATTAAACAATTGCATGCAGTCGCATTGCAATTGTTTAATTGTTTAAACAATTGCAACAATTTTGATCTTTAAGTGTATTAACAGTTTATCGCCACTTTATTTTACAAACTGGGGATCTTTCTGCATTCGAACCTGGACACCGCATCATTTCAGTTAATCATTCATCCATTCAGTCATTCATTCATCCATTCATTCATTCATTCATTCATTCATTCATTCATTCATTCATTCATTCATTCACTCACATCTGGCCAGGGTTTAAAGACTGTAATATTGCATATGAGAATGTTCTCTTCCCTATCGTACGTACTATAACAGAAGAGCGCTTTTGCTGGATGGACGGACGAATGGATGAAAAAATGAATGGATGAATGAATGAATGGATGGATGGATGAATGAATAAATGAATGAATGAATACATGAATGAATGAATGAACGAACAAACGAATGAATGAATGAATGAATAAAGGAATGAATGAATGAATGGATGAATGAATGAATGAACGAACAAACGAATGAATAAATGAATGAATGAATGAATAAATGTATGAATGAACGAACAAACGAATGAATGAATGAACGAACGAATGAATGAATGAATGAATGGATGAATGGAATGAACGAATAAACGAATGAATGAACGAACAAATGAATGAATGAATGAATGAATGAATGAATGAATGAATGAATGAATGAATGAATGAATGTATAACTGAATGAAAGATTGAAAAAAACAATTCTGACAGCAACAAAAGAGCTTGTAAGAGCGACTGAATGAAAGTTATTAAATATGTGCTAATAAAAAATGTTGAACTGGTTAGAATGGATAGTACTAATTTGTTGCTAACACCAACACTACCACCACACTACTACCACCAGCTTCACCATCATCATCACTATCATTACCATCATCATCATCATCACTGCTACCTCCACCACCATCATCATCACCATCATCACCTCCACCACCATCATCATCACCACCCCCACGACCATCATCACTACCACCTCCACCATCATCATCACCACCACTTCAACCACTGCCACCTCAACCACCACCACTTCAACCACCACCACCAACACCACCCTACTTATTTTGTAGACATGGAGGTCACTAGCTTTGCAGCGTATCATCTTCTCGTGGTTGTCGCACTGGTAGTTGATGCTCTTGGAGCAGACCTTCGTCTGCAGGTAACATGCCTCCCTCAACACAATGGCTGGATAGATGGGTGGGTGGATGGATGGATTGATAAATGGATGGGTGGGTGAATGGGTGGATGGATTGTTGGATGGGTGAATAGAAAGATTGTTAGATGGATGGATGGATGAGTGGGTGGATGGATTGATAAATGGACGGATGGGTGGGTGGATGGGTGGATTGATGGACGGATGGATTGTTGGATGGGTGAATAGAAAGATTGTTAGATGGATGGATTGATGGATGGCTGGATGGATAGAAGGATGGATGGATGAATTGTTGGATAAATGGATCGATGGGTGGCTGGGTAAACGAATAAATGAAGGAATGAATAAATGAACAATTGAACTGAATGATTGATAGATGGGTGATTGAGCGATGGAATAAGTTAAAGTTGGCTGGTTGGTATAGCGAAACATAATAACAACGAAATAAAAAATAAAACATCATCATCATCACCAACAAAAATATGATCAACATCACTATCATCATCATCATTGAAACATCATTATCATCACCAACAAAACATCATCACCATCATAACCTCCACTGATGACCTTGTAGCTCATCATCATCATCATCAACATCATCATCATCATTTTGATGAGATGGTGATGCGAGCCTATATCTAGGTGATCACGATGATGATGATGATGACAATAGTGATGATGACACTCATGATAACAATGAAGATAATCACGGATTATGCTGATGATGATAAGAGTAATAATAATAATCATTCGACGATGAAAATTATGACAATCATAAATTAATTATATTATAACTATAAATAAATAAAATAAATAAATAAAAACCTTCTCTTCTTCTCACTTGCATGACCAATGAAGCAATACCTCTAACAACAACAACAACAACAACAAATAATGATGATAATTGTTGTTGTTGTTATAGCTATTCATTGTTGTTGTTATTAATATTATTGTTATTATTATGGATGATGACGTTTATGTTAAATTCGAAACAAATTATGTAGCGGTGAGTTATTATTTAGCTTAACACTTTCTAAACATTTTGATTGGGAATCATCTAACTAATCGTTCGATATATAATACTACTACAACTACTGCTGCTACAGTTACTACTGCTACTACTACTTAATTTCAACTACTTCTGCAACAACAAATAATAACAATAGTATTTTGTTGCTGTTGTTGTTGACGATGGTGATGATGATGATGATACTAATGTTTGAAAAAATACCAAATCAAATTTTAGTCAAATCTTTCTTAATATTTCTGACAAATTTCAATTTTTTAATAAGTAACAAAAAAAAATTGCCAAAAGTCGTATTAAAAATTATAGAGCGTGCGATCAATGGTAGCCGAAACTGGACAAATGAAGTGACGAACTGGCCACCAGCTCATCACAGAGTTCATTCCTCAGCAGAAATTCATTGAAATCCCAGTTCACCTTGCCTTTATTGATAGCAGGCCATCTCAGGTAGCCAGCCTCAAGTTTGAAAACTAGAAATCTGAAACTCGATCTCGTAAAACTTTTCTCCAGGCTTGCCTGGTGCCAATAATGGTAGAAGGGCTTGAAAGATTTAAAGGTAACCACCCAGTGTCTCCAAATTGTGCTCAAATCGAAGTTCTGCCTGAACACCACCAGCAGAAATGTTTTATTTTTCATTTCCTCGTACCTTGAACCGTTTAGCATGCAATCGATTTGAACTTCGAAAGGGTTGTGCAGGTCTATATCGGCTGTGCGAATACTTTCCGAGCATCGGAATAGTTCTCGATATCCGGAGCGTCTATTCAGGTAAGTATTTATATTTATGCCGACGGGATTTTCGCATTGTGGATATGTTTTGAAATCGAAATTGTAGCACGGTTCATTTCGGTCTGCGAGATCACGACAGTTGGCAACGCGAATCGTGTAGACGCCGATTAGGAATAAGCAGAATATTCTAGATTGAAGTATGATAATGACTTCTTCAATAGATATTGAACTCTCAGTTGTTTTCAGGTGGGCATTCGTGAAACGTACAAATTCTGAAATGGAAGATTTTTCGATTTCTAAAAAATAAAATTCGTACCTATGTTCTATCGACCTTGGTGGAGACAGAGCCTTCTCAAAACGGTTTAAAAACTTGTATCTTTTATCGGATATATCAAATAAATAAATTTTAAACCGATAAATACTCGATTGATGTTTGGTATCTGCCGGACCGATGACGATAGTAACATAAGCAAAATCGTCATTCATAATAATCGGAATTTTTACCGTCGGTTTTTTAGCCAAAAACGAATATTGGACGATTTCGTCACATTTGGGATGGTAATCGTTGTGCAGAGCGACATCTAGCTCTAGAAAATAATCTTTTTTCTGTGAGAACTTACATAGATCCGTTTTATTTGGAACGATTTTGAAGCAATGCTCTTTCGATTTTAAGGAATTGGATGAGTGAAAATGTAAAAATAATATTATAAGCAGTTGCCATCTAACGAAGACAGATATCTTCGTGGTATCTAAGAACATTTTTCTCACTCTTTCTCTTTCAGAGACTGTCATCCAGTTTTTTAAATTAAATTTAAATAAAATTTAAAAAAAACCAACGAACTACCAAAAAATAAATTGACCGACATTGTTTGTTGTCGTAAATTCAAAAACTCGCACGACGTAAACACGAAAAATAGGGATGTACAATATTTTTTATTACTCAAGTTGTACGTCAAATAAATAAAGATCGTTTTTATAACAAATTATATGTTTTTTTATAATCCTTTTTTTATAAGGTTTAATACATTATTTGACTTATAAGAACATTAATTATTTTATTCAGTATAGACTCATAAGTTTATTTAATTTATTGTTTTAAAAATGTCTTAGTTTTGAGAAGGCACGGGGATGTTTCGTCTTCGCCTTTGTTTAACGTAATAATTACAATAACGCACAACAATAACCGAAGTAATAATTATAACACTGACAATAATGGCCATCAACTTTATCGATTAAAGTTAATAATAATAATATATTAATAATAGTTATTTAATTAAAAAATAATGATGATGTGTCATTTTTAAGTGTCATTTTAAAGGATTAAGAGGTCATAGATGCAAGGTCTTCAAGAAGACAGGAAATCCAACAAAGCAAAGATTCTTCAGCAGTGGGGTGGTAAACGCCTGGAACGAGCTGAGCGATGCGATAAAACTCTCTAAGTGGATTCATACAACAAATTTAAAATCAAGCTAGGAGAGCTAGGATACTAAAAAAAGACATTTATTTTGTAGTGGTTTTTGTTAAATTTCTTGTCACGAAGATCGTTTAATTAATTAATATAATATTGAAAGACATTAAAAGAAGAGAAATAAACTTAGCAACGTTCTTGACTTGTTTATTATCAACCGGAACAACAAAAAAGGAAAGGGTGAAGTTACATACAAAGCAAAGAACATTTGCTCCAAAGAAAATAAACGTATATCATAAATCATAATGTTTTAAAATAAAACATAAAACTTAACAGTTCTTACACAGATGCTAGTATACTGAAGCACTTTAAACTTTGTTATATCATGCTATGCTAAATAGTGGTTTGTGTAAATTATAAGAAATTTAGACTTCAATACAAGTAACGGTGTGTGTGTGTGAGTGTTTATGTGTGTGTGTGTGAGTGTTTATGTGTGTGTGTGTAAGTGTTTATGTGTGTGTTTGTGTGTGTGCGTGTGTTTGCGTACGTGACGCAAATCTAAAATAAATATAACGACAAATTTGGCCATAAAATCACCTGCCAGAACAAACAACAACAACAACAAAACCATGACACAAACATTGAACAAGAGCAAGATCTAACTAAATGATGAAACGTCGACACTCTTGAGATATTCATGGTCTCCAGCGTCTCGCTATGGTGATTAAAAACCCTACAACTGTACATCCTTAAAATTTCTTCACTTCGGAAAAAATTCAAAACATAGACAAGATCAAATATGACGCGTTTTGGGTTTTTCTGGAATGTCTTATTGACGTTGTTGGGCATTGTCCAAACCGATTCTACAGGCGGATCGCCGATGCCGAAGCTTCGAATTTTTAATTTGTTAGGTTCGTGAAAGTTGTGAGTGAATACTATAATCCGAGCCGGTACATTAACGCCGGTTATCAAACCAGATTCGGTATTCGGTGTCGGTGCACCATCCTAATGGTGTAGTTACTGTCATTGGCGTCTTTGTTAGGGATATTGTCGTCGGGTATTAGGTCGGTATATCGGAATCGTGTTTGCAGGTGTATCGATGGATTTGTAGCTTGAGAAAATTTTAATTTTAAATTTAAAATTAATTTTAATTTAAATATGAGTACTTAATTTAAAAAAAAATTAAGTTGCAAATATAATTATAATTATTATTATTTACTGGACCAAGAATTTATGTGGTTCATTATGACTGAAATTATTTTATTATCAAATTTGTTGAAATATTAAATAAAGTCATAAAATATTTTATTATTATTAAAAAAACGAATAGAATGTTTCGAAAGATATGTTTATTATGTTCAAATAAAATAACATTCATAAAATAATAATTATTATTTTGACGCAATGAATTAACCAATTGACATTTATTTTATATCGGCTTTGTTGCCAGTTATTTCTATTGTTTAATCCTACAACAAAGCACATTTTCAATAGCAGTGAAGATGGCGTCATGTGTAAGGAGCCTGGTGGTTCTGCATCGTAGTAACCGGGTTTGAATGCGTAATGATCCTCGCCTATCACGTGCGATCAGAGCCGATCCTGGACCTTTTCATCCCAGCCTCAAATTTTATCTCTAAATATTCCATAGTGTCAAAATGGGAGGAAAGATATCCGAATCCGGCCCTTCAAAAAATTTCGACTCCGAATTCGGTTCATCAAGAAATTCCAAATTTTGACTCTAAATCCTGCCTTTTCGATTTTAGGTTCCGACTCCCTAAAACATTTTTCAGCTTTTGCATCATAAATTTGGCTACCCATTTTGCCCACCCCCCCGTTAGGATCGGCCCTGCATGCAAATGTGTGCGATGCCGTGGGTTCAGACATATTTACTTGTGCTACGGTTGCGTTTGAAACAGGTCAGCATGCAATTACAACGCTTAACCTTGGCACTTCTACTTCATCCTCTACCTACTAACATGCTGACGGCAAAGATTAAAATTAAATTAGTAAATTATTCAAAACGGTTATTATTATTATTAAAAATATTATCATTTGTAAAAATTACGTCAAAAATATTTTAATAATATATTGAATTCAATAATATCATTCAATAATACTAAACTTTTTGTGGTGGTAGTAGTCGTTGTTGTCGTAGTAGTAGTGGTAGTTGTGGTGGTAGTAGTAGTAGTAGTAGTGGTAGTAGTAGTAGTAGTGGTAGTAGTTGTTGTGGTAGTAGTAATAGTAGTAGTAGTGGTAGTAGTAGTAATAGTAGTAGTAGTGGTGTTAGTAGTAGTAGTGGTTGTGGTATCTATAAAAGGCCTATTGGTAGTAACATTAGATCTCTTAGCATCTGTATTAGATATACTGGTATCTGTATTTGATATACTGGCATCTGTATTATTAATAGATATACTGGTATCATCAAATGGTATCATATTAGATATATTAGCATAAGAATGTATGTATATGTGTATGTATATGTGTATGTATATATGTATATGAAACTGACAATTATATATATGACAATTATATATATATGAAACTGACAATTATATATCATATTTGAAAAGGTGGCTGTGCCCGATAAGTCTCAAAGACTCCTCACAGCCATCCCGTGCCCTTGATTTTTTCATCAAATTTTGTGGCCAAATAAAATATTGTTATTGTTGTTATTGTTAAGTACCAACAGGAGCGATAGTATCAGTGTAAGTATCAGATATAATATCATCTGTAATGTCGATATTGAGAGTGCTGATGGTGTAGCTATTAGCTGATATTGTAGTCGTCGTCGCTGTGGTTACAAATTTTGTTGTTGTTGTTTTTGTTGTTGTTGGTGGCGTTGATACAGATGTTGTTGTTGTTATTGTTGGTGTTGATACAGATAATGTTGTTGTTGGTGCTGGTGGTTAGGGTTAGGGTTAGGGTTGATGTTGTTACAGATGTTGTCGTTGTTGTTGTTTTTGTTGTTGTTGTTGGTATTGTTGTTAATACAGATGTTGTCGTTGTTGATACGGATGTTGTTATTATTATTGTTGTTGTTGCTGTTGTTTGTGTTGATACAGATGCTGTTGTTGATGATACAGATGTTGTTGTTATTGTTGTTGTAGTCATTGTAGTTGCTGGTACAGATGTTGTCGTTATTGTTGTTGCTGGTGTCGTAAAAGTTTGAATGTTGATGATGATTAGTAAGGGGTTAATGTTTAAGGACATTTTTTGAAAATGTGTGTCCTAAAATCAATTATTAATTATTTATAATATATTTAATAGTAATAATAATAATAACGAAAGTAATCCAAACAAATTATAATTATAACTATAATTGTTATGAAATTAAGTAGAATTATTTAAATTTTAAGAGATTCTAGTTATTTTAAAATATAAAATTCTTTTAAATTTTGAAAAAATTAATAGAAAAAGGCCAAAATACTAATTGGTATTATAAACGTTTATAAACATTTTTAAACCAAAATTCAACATCATATATATATATAAAATTATTAATTAATAATTAAGTAATAATAATTCTTTTTCATCAATTATGACAAATTATTAGATATTTCGTGAGTATTTCTATAAAAATAATAAATTTATATTTATCAGATTATAAATTTTTTATCTACGCTACAAATGTTTTTATTTAAAGTTATTTTATCCATGCTTCCCCAGCGTCCATATTTATAGTTATTCTGTATCACAGTTTTGGATGTTTTATCGCAAATTAATAAAATGGCAGACGAAGCGAGATATTTGTTAGAAAATATGCACAAATTAAGAGTTGTCGATCTGAAGTTGGAGCTAGAAAAAAGATGTTTGTCGAAGTGCGGGAGCAAGAATAAGTTGGCCGAACGATTGAAAGCGGTTAGTGTTTCTGATTAGTAGTAGTTAGAATCTAAATCTGTTAGTTAGATGCTGAGTTGTTGAATGAATCTTTTTCTTTGATTAATTTCTCGCTTTTATTTTATCTCTAAAATAATCTTATTTGATTTATTTTTGTTAAAATTCTGCGATCACGGGTTTTCTTTAAGATTCAATTTGTTTTTAAAAGTTACTTTTTTAATTTTTTATTAAAACCAACTCCCATGGTTTGTAGGTAAAACGTGAGATAGGTACTCCTATGGTATCCTCCATCTTTACAAACAATCAATGTACTTTTAATAAATTAACTCCGCCCATTTTGAATTATCTAGCACTATCAAATTGAAAATAATTTAATTAGGTAAGTTTTTTAGATCATTACTTGTCAAATAGTTGTAATTAACTGTTTGACTAAAAGACTGATATTTTATTTGTACACAACTTGCCTGCTTATGTCTAATTTTTTTAAATCCCTGAATCTCCTTAGAATTTAGTTTGATTTTAACTAGATTACAAGAATTAGGAATTATTTAGTTTGATTTTAACTAGATTACAAGATAAATACACCCAATAATCGCCCAATAATAAATACACATCAAAATATATAAATGATAAAAAAAAAAGTGTTCATGGCTGTTTATTAAATGGATTTTTGGTAATTGATGTGATTATGTAATGCAGGTGTGGGCAAACTACACATTTTGAAGAAAAATAAATAAAAAAATTGAAATTATCAAAAAGAGGTCATTAGCCAGATATTATGACCAAAAATAGGTCGTCAACCACAAATGACCATGTTTAAAAAAATGTATGCCGGAAATGTGCAACCCGCCATGTGATGCTGAAGTTCTACCTAAAAAATATTTTAATACCCGAAATTGATAATAATACCGTGAAATGATAATTAAAATACCTTGTAATATAAATGCGTTAATAACTATAGTACCCGATATATAAATATATTTATTTTTAATTAATTAATCAATTAATTAATCAATTAAATAATTTTTTTAAATTATAGCATCTGTTAACAGAAGAATTGAAAGAGGGTGACGGTGATGGTTCTGAGTTGGGTGAGTGTATGCATTAGCTAATTTTATCCATCTCACATTTGTTTAAATATTATATTTTTATTTCATCACATATTTATTTAATTTATTTGAATTTTATATTTAATTATTTTTAACTAATTGTTGTTAAACTTTTTAAACTTTAATATTAAAAATTAATTAAATTTTTTTCCCATAAATTTCAAGACCCGGATGCTGGCTCGATTTCATCCTTGAATGTTGGTTTCAGTTGTCTTTGTTTTCTGTATCTTTGTTTTTATTTTCAATTTTTTTTTTCATTTTTGTTTTTTTTTCACAGTTGTTTTTTTATCGTCTTTGTTGTTCTTCTTGATCATTTTTTTATAATTACATTCAGTTTCATTATTTCACATCAATAGTACGATCATCATCTGACCTATGACGGAATTCATTATTACATTTTTATTATCACTTCCACAGTTCTAATCATCATCTTAATCATTATTATTATCACAATGTCATAGCAATTTAAACCATAATTGAAACCTTTTTGGGAATTTGAGCTTATGGGCTTATTGGGCACCCGCTTTCATTAAATTTTTTCTGTTATTTTATGTTATGTAATTGTAATCTTAATCATTTTAATCATCGTTATCACAATTTCGAAACAATTTAAACCATAAATTGCAACCTCCATCATCTTAATCTCCATTATATTTAGCTCGCATCATCGTCTTCATCATTGCTTGCCTTCATTGCCGATCGTCATTCTCACTGTTATCATCGTTTTGGTCATTATAATTACCATAATCAGTGTATCACAACCCAACCATCATATCATGATTTATTTTAGTTAATTATATCATCGTGATCAACATGAATTATTGTTGTTGTTTATCGTCATCAATGACTTTATTTTTTATCATGTTGTTTATCATCATAAATCACTGTGAGGATTATCACCTTCATCACATTCGCTGCCATCTTCATTATCTACATCGTTGTCATCATCATAATCATCAACGACATCATCATCATAATCATAACCATCATCATCATCAGCTCCCAGCAGCCGATGAAAGTGTCGAGTCGAATGAATTTGTGAAGAATTATCTGCAACAGAGGGAGAAGCTTCTGGAGCAGCAGATGGAGCAGAAGAAAAAATATCAAGGTAGGTTGGTTGGTTGGTTGGTTGGTTAGTTGGTTGGTTGGTTGGTTGGTTGGTTGGTTGGTTAGTTGGTTGGTTGGTTAGTTGGTTGGTTGGTTAGCTGGTTGGTTGGTTAGCTTGTTGGTTGGTTGTTTAGTTGGATGGTTAGCCGGTTCGTTGGTTGATAGATTAGGTGGTTGGTTAGTGTTGGCTGGTTAGTTTGTTGGTTGTCTTGTTGGTTGTCTTGTTGGTATGGGGGTTGGTTAGTCAGTCTGTAGTCTGGTCAGTTGGTTACCTGTTATTTGATCAAAGTTATTTGATTGGTTTAAGTTATCTGATTGAAGTTTCATCTGATTGAAGTTTTGTCTGATGATTGATCAGCTAGTTACATCTCTATAAACCCACTCATCCCTCCTCCATCCATTCATGCCTGCACACTCCCACCCACCCACCAACCAACAGAGGAAGTAAGCAGATCTCAGGAGAGTGAGTCGCAGAGCGAGGCGGAAGATTTAAGCCAACCTCAACAACAGCCGCAACAATCTTCATCACCTTCAACATCATCTCAACAACATCAGCAACAACAACAGTCTTCATCACCTTCAACATCACCTCGACAACATCAACAGCAACAGTCGCAACGACAACTTCAGCTACAGCAACAACAACAACAACAACAAAAGTACAACTCTGATGCTGACACTGAAGATGAGCAGTCTGATTCTGCTACCACTACTACTACTATTACCACAAATACTACTACTACTACTACTCTTCAGAATGATGGTGATAATGATGATGATAGTGGCTCTTTCAACGCCACAACTGGTAGTGTGGCCAATACTTCTGCTACTACCTCTAATGATGATACTAGTAAAAGTATTATTCTCTCCACTCTTGTTGATAATACTAACAATAATAATGCTGCTACCACTGTTACTGCTGCTGCTGCATCTGTAGCTGCTGCTGCATCTGTAGCTGCTGCTGCTGCATCTGTAGCTGCTTCTACTGCTGCTGCATCTGTGGCTGCTGTCGTTACCACAGTTACTACCATTACTACTAATTCTGGTAACGATGAGGCTTCGCCAGTCGTTGTCACCACTGTTACTTCAGATACTTTGCTATCTGTTGCTAGTAATAGTACTAAGAGTGATGATGATGATGGTGGTGTTCGTGATGGTGGTGGTCGTGGTGATGATGATGGTGGTGATGGTGGGGTTAAGAATGTTGTCGGTAGAGAGGTGGATGATGATGGTGCTGGTGATGATGATGTTGATAAAAATGCTGATGATGATGATAAATATAAAAAGGATTCCAAAGTCGATGATGACATTAGTAATGGGGAGGATGGTGATAGACGAGTAGAAACACTCAGTAGTAGTAGAGACGATGCTGATAATGATGATAACGAAGACGATGATGATAATAATGACAGAGGCAAAGATGATGATGATGATGATAAGGTGACTGAAAAAGATGAAGAAGATATGGAAGTCACAGTATCCAGTGAGGGAAAAGTAGTTGGGGGTAGTAATAAAATTAAGGATGACGTCATTTTGAAAAATGAAGATGGCGACGATGGTGGTGGTGCTGGCGATAAAGATAATGATGATGGTGAAGTGGGTCACAGTGGTGATGATGATGGTGTGAAGAGAATGGTGACGCAGAATGAAACTAATGATAGGTTGGTGTGTGTGTGAGTGTGTGTCTGTGTGTGTGTGCGCGCGTGTGTGTTGTGTTAGTTTGTTGTTATTTATTGTTCACTGGCTGGATGTTGTTTTGTTGACATTATTTCTTCATTCATTCATTCATTTATTTATTCAATGACTCATTTGCTCATTCATTCATTCGCTCAATCATTAAACATTCACTCTATCACTCATTCATTCATTTAAACATTCACTCCATCACTCACTCGTTCATTCATTCATTTAAGCATGCACTTCATCACTTATTCATTCATTCATTTGTTGATTCATTTATTCATTCATTCATTTAAACATTCGTTCCATCACTCATTAATTTATTCATTCATTCACTCAGTGCATTGATGGGTGAGGACACGATGGAGGTCTCCATCAGCGCTAAGATCAACGGTGATGACGACGACGAAGATGAGGATGATGATTTCAGTCGGGGTTCAGATGATAAGGTTAAATTTTGGCTCATTCATCCATTCATTCACTCATTCACTTGTTAATTAATCAATTAATTAATTTAATCATTCATTCATTCATATACTTAATAATTGTATGTGTATAAATGTGTTTATATGTAAACATGTATAAGCTCGTGTTTGTATGTGGACACGATCATCATAATATCATTGAACTGTATTCTTTGTCAACTGTATTTATACTTTGTCAATAACGAATTTTTATTGGTTTATTCGCTGGACTACGTGTCAATGTTTTTATGCTGTTTCAATCCATTATATTGTCAATATTTTTTGTAGCCTGTACGCAAGTTTAATATTAAAGTTCTAACAACAACAACAACACACGTTTAGACGACATTTTTCCCGAGATCGGGGGTTGCCGTTTGGCTACCTATGATGAAACCGAAATACGCCATCCACATCTGTCACTCGCCTCAGTATCACGCAACCCCGCTTTCAACCTGTCCTTCTTCACCTGCTCTCTCCATCCCAATCGCGGACGACCCCTTCCTACCACTCCTTCAACCTCGAACTCCAACGCTCGCCTAATCCCGACCCTTTCATCCCTTCTCAACACATGTCCATACCACCACAATCTCGATCTCCTTATCAATGTCACAATGTCCTCATTCAGTCCCATCATCGACATCAGCTCTGTACTACTCCTCCTATCCTTCACTTTAACCCCACACATCATCCTCACCATAGCTCTTTCAGCCCTCTGCAGTACACTTTCCTCCTCTCTCCTCAACACCCAAGTTTCACCACCATATACCATCGCTGCTCTCACACATGCTTTTTATATGCTTTATTCACATGCTAATTTTAAAGTTCTGTTTGTATTAATGTCTATTTCTTTATTTTAAATGAAATTTTTCTGTTTAACGGTGGTCTATCATAAGATCTTTTCTTTTCTGATCTCCGTATCATTTTCATTTCTTACAATTGTTTGATTTGAATTGATGAATAAATAAAATATTAAAAGTATTAAATAAATACTTAATAATTCGCTCTTTCACTTACCTACTCATCCATCTAATCACTCATTGGCTCGTCAGAAGGACAAGCAGCCAGCCACCAATGAGACATCAGCAGCAACAGCAGCTGCTGCAGCTGTCGTAGAGGAGCCAGTTATTCAGTTGAAAACTCACAGGAAGCTGTTTGCCAAGAAAGCTACTAGTAACGGTTGGTTGATGAGTTGACTGGTTGATTTGTTGGTCGGTTGGATGATTGATTGGCTTATTGAGTCAGTCAGTGAGTGGGTTATTGGTTAGTTTTTGGTTGACTGACTGGCTTGTTTGCTGGTCGGCTGGTTGATTGTATGGCTGGCCAGTTGATTGGTTGATTGCCTGGATAAATTGCTGGCTGGCTGATTGATTGGATGGATGGTAAGTTGATTGATTGGATGGATGGCTGGCTGGCTGATTGGATGGCTGGTTAGTTGATTGATTGGATAAAAGGTTGGCTGGCTTGCTGATTGATTGGAAGGATGGTCAGTTGATTGGTTGGATGGATGGCTGGCTGATTGATTGATAGCCTACTTTTACACTGGTATCCATTTCCGTCTGCCTCCTCAACACAGAAGATGCAGCAGCAGAAGCATCCTCGTTGACGACAGGGGTAGAGAGAAGCAGCAAGAAGAGGAAGTGGGGCAAGATCTTCATGGAAACGAACGGAAGGAAGTTGTCCGACTGTGTCGGGTGTAGTAGCGTCACCATATCCTCTGAATCCCTGAAGGTTGGCGAGGGCTATGAGCTGTTGGTGGTGGTGATGATGATGATTGTGGGGATGATGATAATGATGACGACGAAGATGATAATGATGATTGTTGGGATGATGATGAAAAGGATGATTGTGGGGATGATGATGAAAATGATGATTGTGGGGATGATGATGATAATGATGATTGTGGGGATGATGATGATAATGATGATTGTGTAGATGATGATGATAATGATGATTGTGGGGATGATGATGATAATGATGATGACAACGACGATGATGATGATAATTGTGAGGATGATAATGATGACGACGATAAAGATGATAATGATGATTGTGTTCATTGTACTATAATGATTTACCATTAAGGGGTGATGATGAAGACGATGATGATTGTGGGGATGATGATGATGACGACGGCGATGATGATGATGATTGTGTTCATTGTACTACAATGATCCACCATTGAGGTGATGGTGGTGGGGTGATGATAATAATGATGATGATGATGATGTCTGTGATAATATGTATATAATAATTTATAATAATAAATAATATCATAATTTGTTTAAATCCATCCCAAACCGTCAAATAAATATCTCTCCTATTTACAATAACCCCGCCAGGATCTCATCCCGGAGATGACCCTCGACCTTTCCATGACCTCCGACCCAATACTTGACCTTGAACCCGAGCAGCAACCACAGTCAAGGTCAACAGCCTCGACAGCGACTACTGCTAAAATTGTGTATAGGGAGAAGTCAAGTAACACTGATGGTAATAACAATTCTTCCTTGGCGATGGCTGCTGGTACTACCGCAGCTGCTGTGGCCGATGAAAACGCTAGAGTGGTAGATGGTGGTAGCGGCGGTGGTGGTAAGGGTGTGGTGAGGATCGCCAGAATTGTTTACCAGGTTTGGGTTGCATTCATTTTTATGGTGGTTTGTAATTTGTGATTGTGTTGATGGTGTTGTTGTTGTTCATTGGTATTTGTGGTTGTGTTGATGGTGTTGGTGTTGATGTTGTTGGTGTTGTTGTTGTTGTTGTTCATTGGTATTTGTGGTTGTGTTGGTGTTGTTGTTGTTCATTGGTATTTGTGGTTGTGTTGGTGTTGTTGTTGTTCATTGGTATTTGTGGTTGTTTTGATGGTGTTGTTGTTGTCGTTAGTTTATTCGTCTGTTCGTTGGTTCGTCGTTTGTTCATTCATCTGTTCATTCATCTGTTCGTTCGTTCGTCATTTGTTCATTCATCTGTTCGTTCGTTCGTCATTTGTTCATTCATTCATCTTTCGTTCATTCATCTGTTCATTCATCTGCTCATTCATTTATCATTTGTTCAGTCATCTGTTCATTCGTTTGTTCATCATCCATCCATCTATCCATCCATTTATTCATTCATTCATTCATTCGTCACGTCACATTAATTTGTTCTCTAGGATGTGAGGGACTCCACAAAGACGATATCGTCCTCATCTTCGATGGACCACGTGGCTTCCGGAAGTGGTGGTGGTGGTAGCGACAGTGGCGGTAGAGGCGTCTACCAGTCGAGAGAGAGAAAGGTGGTGGAGAGGCCGAGGTCGTCCAGCAGCACGGCAGTCGGCAGTAGTGGCGCTGACAGGCTGGTGAGGATCGTTGATGAAGAAGGCAGTCGCCGGCGTCAAGATGGTGAAGATGACGTCATCAACGACGATGTTGATGATGGGGAGGAGGAGGAAGAGAGAGGTGGAAAGGATAACAAAGAGAATGGCGGTGAGGAAGGTTCTGCGTCGTCACTTGCCGGAAGGAGCGGTCGTCGGGAGGTCGTCGTTGGTGGAGGAGCTGCTGGGTCCGCTGCTAGTGCCGCTACTGCTGCTGCTACTTCTGATGGTACCGCTGTCGTTGGCGATGGCGGGAGCAAGGCTGGTGGTTCTGCTGTAGCTACTACTGTGCAAAGTAAGTTTTGTTGGATGTGTGTGTGTGTGGGTGAATGTGTGTGTGTGTGTGTGTGTGTGTGTGTGTGTGTGTGTGTGTGTGTGTGTGTGTGTGTGTGTGGGAATGTGAATAAGTGTGTACATGTTTCGTGTAGTTTCACACTTCACTCGTACGACCGACACCTCTATCATCATTATACAGTATACACCCATCATTCTCACCATTAACTATAATTAACATCACCATGGAAACAGAAAAACGAAGCACCTCAATCTCCTCAACTACGATCCTCACCCAACCTCCTCCCCCCGATGAGCCCGTGGACGTGGTCAGGAAAAGAGGTAGGGACAAGTTTACCCCGGCCGGCGAGGGCCTCGACGGCGGACGACCCCAAATCACCCCCCCGAGACGTCAACCCACGAAGTTTGTCCACGTCTTTAACCTGGTGAGGCCTTTCACTGTGGGGCAGTTGAAGGAGTTGATGGGAAAGTATGGCAAGGTCATTGAGGAGGGGTTCTGGATTGATAAGATCAAGTCACACTGCATCGTCGAGGTTGGTTTTTTTTAGTTGATTTGGTGCTCTGATGAGTGGCTAGCTGGTTGTTGGCTGGCTGGTTGATTGGTTGGCTGGTTGGTTGATTGGTTGGTGGTTGGTTGGCTGGTTGGTTGGTTGATTGATTGGTTAGTTAGTTGGTTTGTTAGTTAATTGATTGGTTGGTTGATTGATTAGTAGTTTGGTTGGTTTGGGCTTAGTTAGTTGTTTCACTGCTTTGGGGATGATTTTAAAAATTTTAAACCACCATCATTCACCTCTCAATCGCCGACCATCCATCCGACCAACAACAAACTGCATGCAGTACGAAACGATCGACCAGTCGACGAACTGTCGCCAGTCGCTCCACGGAAGGAAGTGGCCCGCCTCCAATCCCAAACTGCTCAGGGTGGATTACTGTGACGAGGAGGAAGTTAGTGACGTTGATGACGTTAACGATGACGATAGTGGTGGTGGTGGTAGTGACCGTGTTGCTGGTGGTGGTAGCAGTGATTATAATTGTGGTGATGACGATGATGACGTTGACGATGAGGATTGTGGTGTCGGGATGACCATGTTGCTGGTGGTGGTAATTGTGGTGATGATGATGATGATGATAAACTGTCACATGACAGTGACAGTTTACTCTTTTTTTGATATTATATTTTAACGGTAGTAAAAGATCTAACAAAATTCTGACCTTTAACCTCTCTAGCTGCTGACCTTGAGGAAAGATGGCGTGACCCCATCACATCGTCCTTATCTCGGCAGCAGCAGTGTCAGACCTCTGACGTCGTCAACGAACGTAGGCGATTCCAGAATTAGTCGTAACCCCCCTCTCCTCCAGGAGCCACCGCAACAACCACCACCTTCATCGCAACACCACTTGCAACAACAACATTCTCAACAACAACAAAAAAGAAAGCGATCTCCAGATGCGACGTCCACCAGACCCTCGCAACAACAACCAACGACCACCAAGCCACCACCAGCAGCAGCAGCAGCTTCAACGGCCACAACTACTAAAACGACGGCCTCGCTGGCGATGCCTCAGAGCGAGAGAGAGAGGGCCGCCTTACTGGCCGAGAAGGAGAATCTGGCCAGAAAGTGGAATCGTCAGGAGAGGTCATCAAGGTCAAGGTCGAGGTCTCGAGGAGAGAATCGGCACCGTCAACAGCATTTGCAGCGCGATAGTAGGAGAGATGGTGAGGATGTCGAGGTGAGGAGGACCGACGCCGAAGACGATGTGAGGAGGAGGAGAAAGAATAAGAGGAGAGATGATGATGTAGAGGGAGAGTTGAGGCCGGCAAAGAAAGATAAGAAAGGTTGGTTGGAGGGAGAGAGGGATAATTGAGAGTCAAATTAGTCTGTATGATGTTGTGTAATTAATTGACTGGTGGATATTATCTCAATCATAACAATTTTTATTATGAATAATTATAATTAATTGTTGTTCTTTCATCCAATTAATCCCCCAGATGAAGAGCCACCGGCCAAATTGCTGGACGACCTATTCAGAAAGACGAAGGCCCTACCTTGCATATACTGGCTGCCCCTCACAGATGCTCAGGTGGGTTGAGGGGGGGTTTAAATAGAGAAATTTTTTAGGGGAGCTAAATAGGAAGGTGTTTTTTAGGAGGGACTAAATAGGAAGGTTTTATGGGGAGCTAAATAGGGAAGTTTTTTTATAGGGGGCTAAATAGGAAATTATTTTTAATGGAGGAGGGTTAAAAATAGGTAGGTTTTTCAATGGAGGGGGGTTAAATAGGGAGGTTTTTTAATGGAGGGGGGCTAATTAGGGAGGTTTTTTTATGGGGAATTAGCAAGGGGTCTTTTGTAGTAGAATAATTAATTAGTTCATTGGGTATCTGAATTATTTCCATGTTTTGCTTTGGATCAGTTGAATTTGAATTTAAATTAATAATCTGTGGTGAATTCTCCAAAGCTGTGCAGATTATTACATTTAGTATGAGGGGTGGGGGTGGGTGATCAATTGTTGGAATAGATAAGAGGTGACTGACACCTTGAATGATTCAAACATGTAATTGTGTGGGAGTGTGTGGTGTGTTTGTGTATGTGTGTGTCTTTGTGTGTGTGTGTGTGTCTTTGTGTGTGTGTGTGTGTGTGTGTGTGTTTGTGTGTGTGTGTGTGTTTGTGTGTGTGTGTGTGTGTTTGTGTGTGTGTGTCTTTGTGTGTGTGTGTGTGTGTCTTTGTGTGTGTGTGTGTCTTTGTGTGTGTGTGTGTGTGTGTGTGTGTGTGTGTGTGTGTGGCTAGAGTTGTAATTTCCGTTTCGAGATGGCCTAGTAGAAGTGAAATGTGGTACGCGAAAAAAACCCCACCACATATGAAAATAACCTTTGACCTTTGTAATCTTAGATTTAACTTTCTTTCTCCCTCCCCTCAATAGGTCGCCGAGAAGGAAGCACACATAAAGAAAATTGAACAGGAGCGAATGAAGAGAAGAGAAGAAAGAATGATGGCCGACAGTAGTCATCATTATCATCATCAGATGCCCGGTGGGGGTGGCGGCGGTGGGTTTGGTGGGCCCGCCAGAGGGTACGATGATAGGTTCAGGAGGAACTGATCAACCCCTACTCTCACCCAGTCGATTTATAGAGAGAGATTTGTACAGCTATTTTGGGGGCATAGTTTAATGATTTTGTACGATTCATCTCCCTCCCTCTCTCTCTCTCTCTCTCTCTCTCTCTCCCTCTATCTCTCTCTTGATGGTGACGAAGATATGGTAAATAATAATTAAATGAAACTGTTTACTTCTGTAATAAAAATCGTACAGCAAATTGGATTGGCTGGTCGGTTGGTGAGGGCCTATTAAATTTAAAAATGATTGGCTAAATTTAATCAGGTTTTTGGTTGCTTAACTTTAATTGGTCGGTATTGGTTAAATGTCATTGGTTGCAGCCTGACAGGAAGTTAAATTCTATTGGTTAATTTGGTTTGGTAGTGAAATTTCATCGGTAGGGCAGGTGAATTTTAATTTAACTGGTAATAATTAATTAATTAATTCACGAATAAAGAACTACCATTGTTTAATTGGTTGTGGAGGTTTGGTCATTGGGATGGTAATGGTATTGGTTAGACTGACTGGTAAAAAGTTTAACTCGAGGCAAATTTTCAGAAATCTCTCGCTCTTGAAGATGCACGTAGAGTTAATTAATTGATAATCAATCAATCAACTGTTAATTAACTCAATTGATTGATTGAGTTAATTAATTGATAAAGTGTTGATAAATTTCTTCGTCGTGGTGGTTAAATTCCTCACCGTCACTTTCTTACCTCCTATCTACCACCATCAGTCAGATGAGAGATGATCGACGACGACATTCAAACTCAAATTCTATTCGCCAGTTTGCCTACCTCAGGATGATTATCCCTGTGATTCTATTGGCGAGAGTTTTCAAGCTGCGGAATTTTGATTGGCTGGTAGGAATATGTTAATATATATATATATATATATATATATATATATATATATATATATATATATATATAAATGTGTATAGGTTTTTTGTATTTATTATGCTAATTTGCAGACGGTATTACGATGTGTTATATATCTAGGGTCAGTTTCAAAACAATGAATGGGGTAATAAACGCTAGAGAGAGGGATAGGGAGAGGAAGGATGAAAGAATGTAAATGCTGTTATTAATAATCAATGATCGAGAGAGAGAGCGATAGATAGTTTTAAGCTGTTGAACATAGTGTGGTTATTTTAAGTTAGAGAGAGGGAAAGAGAGAGAGAGAGATAAGTGATGATTGATGGAGTGGGAAATATTAACATAGGAAAAGGATGCAATGGAAGGAAAAAAGAGGAGAAGATCGTTGTGAGAAATAGTAAGAGAGGTAGAGAAGAGAGAGAGAGATAGAAGAAAGAGAATGAGAAATATTTTTTTTTGAGTATTTTGTTTTCTTCTTCCGTTGTTTTAAAATTTTAACCCTCACAAGTAAAAGTAAAAAAAAATGCAAAGAGGAGTGGAGGTTAAGTGTGGATGATTGCCCTTTTTCTCTAAGTTGCTGTACAGTTCATGATGAGGACAAGGCATGTGTGTGTGTATATTTATAATTAGTTTATATGTGTGTCTGTGCCTGTATGTCTGTCTGTTTGTCTGTCTGTTTGTCCCTCTATACTGATATAAACTAAGAGTTTATTCTTATTTGTTGTTATTGTTATTAATTGTTATTATTATTTTTTTTGTTGTTTGAAAGTGAGTAAGATAGGAGATGGCATGTGTACTAGTTAGCAGTCATGAGGTGAGACGAAGTTTAGATGAGTGGTCATATTTTTATTTTATTATAATAAAATATTATTATTATTTTATCGAAGTAAAATATTATTAATATTATTATTATTATTATTATGAATTGAGAATCATATTAAATATAATTAATTGTAATATTAGCTGAGAAATGTCGATAATAAAAGTTATGACGAACGGAGTTAGAGCTTAGGGAGATGTTAGGAGGCTCGAGCTAACACTTGTCTCCATGATTTTTTTCCTTCAAAAAAAAATATTAGATGTTAAATTTCTATGGTTAAAAGTGAATAGACATTATAAACATCCAGTCAAGAGCACTAGCAACATCACATCAACTACAACTACTTCAACAACAATTCGGATTACAGCAGCAACCACAATTACTACAACAACAACCTCAACAAATACCACTAATATTACTGCTACCACAACAGCCACTCTTGTTACTAATACTACTACTACTACATCAACCACTGCTTCAACTACTGCACTACAACTACTACTACAACAGCCACCCTACTACTACTACTACTACTGCTGCTACTGCTACTACATCGACCACAGTTAGGACTACTTCACTTACGACAACTGCTTCTACGTCCATCAACAATATCCACTAGAACTTCAACGCCTAGCTACTACATCCACACTAGCTGCCTGTACTACTACAACTACATAGACTGCAACTCCATCAATAACTACTGCTGGAAGGACAGCAGCTGCTTCTACATGGTTGAGAGTGGGCATTCCACTGATTAGTCAGTGGTCAGTCCACTGTATGACGAATCTCCACACTGAACCCACTCTCGTGCATGTTGCCAACAAAAATGGCGTCCCACTCTCGCAGCAACTGCAACAACTACATTCTCACAACGGCAACAAATTTATAGTTGTAGTGATTTCCGCTTCAGTTTCGTCAACGAAATCAACAAACAGAATCAACATACAAAACGAACGACGACGATGTTCTCAACAACAACAACAGCAACATCAACAAGAACGACAACAAAGTTGTGCATTGCCATTGAATGTTGCCAACAAATGTTGTAATGTCGCCTAAAACAACAACACCAATAATAGTAATAATAATAATAACAATAATAATAAACAAAAATAATAATAATTATATAACATTATAGACAAATAATTTCAACTTGTGTGTTGCATCAGACAATTAGTTGATTGAGAAATTACGATTCAGCTGTAATTAATTATTATTTGTTATAATAATATGAAAAAATATAATTACAATAATTATAACTCTAAATTTTATACTGTTACATTATTTTTATTGCTAATCTGTTGATTTGATTCAATGAAACCGTAGAAATGAATGAATAGATGGATGGATGAATGGTGAATGATTATCCAATAATAATAATAATAATTTTAATAATAATAATAAATAATGATAATAAAAAAAACAATACAATATATACAATCCATAATCTGTATCTATCGAGCGGTAGATATATCTCATTCTCGTGGCCGATATAATATCTTGATATAATATCTTCGTCATCATTATTATCTGTATCGATGCATACAGATAATAATGATTATAAAGATATAACATATAACAAAATGTTGATTTAGTAAGAACATAATATCTTGATATAATTAATATCTTTACCATCATTATTATCTGTATCGATGTGTATCTTGATATAATATCTTTATCATCATTATTATCTGTACTACTTTTATATATATATATATATATATTATATATATATATATATATACAATATATATATATATATATTGGATTAAAACTGTCAGAAATGCAATTATTGATAAAAATCACAGCATGTTCGTTGTTATATACATATGTGTTATAACAAATGGATAATTTATACAAAATTCATAAATTAAGATTGTTTTTGTTTTTATTTAAACATTCAACTAATTAAAGCATGCTTATGTATGTATGTATACATACATACATACAATATATATATATGTATATATACAATATATATATATATTGTATATATATACAATAAATATGTATACATATATGTACAATAAGTATATATACATATATGTACAATAAATGTATATGTATATATATACAATAGGTATATATACAATGTATATTGCACGTGTGTATATGCATTGTAATGATATGACTAAATTGGCTGGGAGAATTCTTTGATTGATTGGTTGGTTGGTGGATTTATCGATTGATTGATTGATTGATTGATTGATTGATTGATTGATTGATTGATTGATTGATTGATTGATTGATTGATTGATTGATTGATGAACAGACAAATCGATAAATGAATAAAAAAATTCTTATTTTTGTTCGGTTTGATAGGTTTTTTTTTTATTTTGAGTAATGAAAAAAAAAATTTTTTTTCAAAGAAGTTTTTCTCATTTTTTAAATTTTAATCTCATTTCCTGTTGTAATCATCCTGCTTTTCATCAAAATTACAGTTCTTTCAACAAAATGACCGTCAGATTTTTCATCATCGTCGTCATCATCACCGTCATAACCGTCATCGGTTTATTCAAGGCATTATGTAAAAAAGTTCTGAATCTCCATTCACATCACCAAATTATACATTTTTCATGCTAACTATCACTTTAATACCCCTATATCAGTGCCACATTACGGACTATACCTACTACATAGTTCATAATGAAATTTAAACCAAATGCTCAATTCAGTTAAGTCTTTGAAACGAACAAACAAAAACGTGAACCTAACATAAGCGTGTGAACAATAAAGGGTGAACAAATTTGTTCGTGACCAAACGAAAGAACGCATGGCAGGTAACAACGAAGCAAAACTTGAGAGGCATCAACTACATGTCTCCAGTGAGATCTTGCTCTTGTACTCCCAAGATCAATCAATCAACCAACCAATTAATCAATCAATCAAACAATTAGCTTACAAAGCGCTATTTCCTTGATGTTCAATAGCGCTCCTCAATGAATTTTGAAAACAGATGGGTCTTGAGATCCGCTCTGAACTTCGTAAGTGATAGAGAAGTAGTCAGGGAAGGAGGTAGAGAGTTCCAGAAAAAAGGACCAGAAAAAGCAAATGCATTTTGATTAGGTTTAACTTCAATTTGACCGCTGATTTGAATGCTTAGTGTCTCGCTTTGGTCTCACATGGTTAAATACTTTAATGAATTTGCTTACTGATGTTTATTAAATTATTTTACTAGGCAAATATATTTATTGTTATTTCAAATTTTATATAATTATTTTTTTAAATTTTATATTTTTTATAAATGTCTTCGTTCAGTTTGTCCAAATTCATTCGACTACATAATCGAAGTGCACACATGCTTTATGTTGGTTAACAACTCTATTGATTTTTACACTGTTGGAAAAGTTTGTAACAAGGCACCTGCTCATCTGTTGGATGTGAAAGACTAATATGAAAGTTCTGCCGCACTGTTGAGTATCCTCTATCGGTTGTCAAAAGTACGGCCATTCTCTATACATTTGTCTTTTTTTATTAAAATAGTGCTTTAATTAAACATGATTTCATGTCTTTGCTTAGATTATTCGTTAAAACGTAAATTGTGGGTTCTGGCATTCAACCGAATTTGTAATCGGGTTTTGTGGAGGTCGATGATCGCCAATGTCCTGAAAGGATAAGGCACGAGAAAGAAGAAGGAACTTGTCATTATGTATGCAATCGCTATAATAGCTAGTCAGATTCAATTTTTTTGTGGAATACAATTTCAGAACAGTTATATTCGTTAATAGCTTGTTCTCATATATAAATGTATCGAGTTGTTTTATTATGGACGTTGAATAATTTAGAAAAATCCATTTTTTTTTGTTCAAAGCTAACGGCTCACATGCAGATAACGATTATGAATTTTCATGTAACATCGGATTCTAAATTTTATCTGGCTTTTTAGAAAAATTCTATAATTTTTTGTTGTTAATTTATTAATGAGTAATTTAGATTTGTGACTTTTGGTTTGAGTTTAATATCAATTTTTTTCTTAGTGGCTGGCTCAGAATTTCGCATTTGGGTTGAAGGATTTTGAAGTTTTAGAGTTGACGGAACTCATAGTTTAAGTTTAATTCATTGAATATTGAACGAGACCACTTGTAACAGATAATATTTTTATTTCTGAAAAAATTTACTTTTAGAAATTACAGTCCACATACAATCATACTAAACAAACGATAGACTAAATACATCTATCAATCAAAATGTATCCATCACTCAAAATTTATTCATCAATCAAAATATATTGATCAATCCAAATGTATCTATCAATCAAAATTTATATATTAAACGAAATGTTTCTATCAATCCAGATGTATCTCTCGATCATAATCTATCTATCAATCCTAATCCATCTATCAATCCAGATGTATCTATCAATCTTAATTCCTTGATCCCAATTCATCTTTCACTCACTCGCACGAAGACTCATTCCACTCCTTCATGAGCTGGCTGACGTATGGACCGCCGGTTACGTTTGGGAAGTATTGGAAGAGATTATGGGCAGACCCGCAGTTGCCACGGTCTCTACCATTCATGTCATAATAAAGGTGCTGCGTCGCACTGATCTTTGAAAATTGTCCAAATGAATCGAAAGAGCTACCGCACCCTCTGACCAGTAGCATCGATCGAGCTGGAGACAAACGAAATGATGTCATTAGTAATTAATTTTGTAGATGGTTGGTTAGTAATTAAAGTTTGTAAAGGGGGTGAGGTTGAAAGAAGTATCGAATATTTTCACAAAATTTAAGAAAAATTTAAGATTTTTATTTTTATGTAACCTCGGTGTTGCTGTGAAATATGGGCAGCAGTAAGAAACAAAAACAGATGAAAAACTTTAAAAAAACTGAAGCATGTGGAATGCAGTAGAAAATAACGAACAAGCGCTGCTCCATAGTTACATACCGAAACATTTCCATGAAAGGCATGAGTATTTGAATAATCATCCAAGGAGGATGTTTTAATACTTTCAAAAATGCTAAAAGCGTTTTACACATGTTTGCGCAATATAGAAACAAACATCAGGCTGTATTGTACATATTTAAATTTGAAACATGACTTAAAATCATTCTCCTCATATGATCATATGAAAATTACAAAGCACTCTGGACTTTGAATTACAAAGGTCACTTCGAATAACCTAAAAATCTTATAGACGCTACATTGCTAAAAAAATACTTATCATGTGAAATAACAAAAAAATATTAGGCATAAATAAATGTTGAACAGTGAACAAGTGAACAGTTGTTGCAGCTGAAAGAAGAAATAATATTAATATATCAATCAATCAATCTTCGTTTGGCGTCCAGAGACCCAGTTCCCCCGAGGTAGGACGTAGGAATAATAATAACAATATAACAATTGAAAAGCAATCAAATAAAATAAATAAAAAAAAATCAAATAAACCAAAAAATTCTGAATCCTGGATGGTTTCGCCGTTGAATACGACGGCAATTAGGCAAATGCCGCACTGCGTGGTCCCCGAACGTTTGAAACACTTTTCAGGGAGTGGATCGCCGAGATTATGGTAGATGTCGCACTGGCCACACTCAACCGTGGCGTCGGTGATGGCCGCTTCAGAAGCAGGATGGGGAATTAGTGAAATTAAAAGTAGAGAAATATTTACAATATGGAGTCATTGGAATTAGAGGTAAAATATATTTACAATGAGAAACAAAATGTGAAATTAGTGAAATTTAAAGTAGAAATATATTTACAATGTGGAATCATTGTGTGGAGTCATTGAAATTAAAGATAGAAATATATTTACAATGAGAAACAAAATGTGAAGTTATTGAAATTAAAAGTAGAAATATATTTACAATGAGTTTTCAATTTTTATTATTGAATTTTTTAAAATAATTAAAATCCTTGAAAACATTTTGAATTTATTCAAAGTTAACTTAGTTATCTGAAAGTTTGTTTAAATGCGTAAATTCATATAACACATGAATCAACGAATTTACATACTAATGTGTTGGCATCTATTGGTGCCTTCAATTTGAAAATTCTACTATATAGTTAAATTTTTTTTTTTTTTTTTTTTTACAAAAACTTTATACGTGTAGAGTGTTAAAATGTGAACATAGTAACTCCAATTCAACTGAAACTCACAGTGATAAATGACGAGACAGGCTAGGAACAAATACATAGTCAACATCCTTTTGTCTTATAGGAGCTCGAAAGTTAAAGTAAGACACTGTGAATTATTAAGTAGGTTAGTACTTTAAATAACTTAATTAAATAAATTTTGGCAAAAATATTATAACCATTTTAGTTTGTTTAATGCTTTAATTAATTCATTTGATAGCAGAATGAATTTGTTGATCGTAAAATTCAGTGATGAAAACTTAATATATTTAGGAGCGTCATTGAAGTAGCTTAAAGAAACGTACCTAAATTCATTAACCTTTAAAGTTAATCAAACCTCCAAAAGATACAAAATTAGTTTGAAATGGCAAACTCAAAATGTAACCATCCAGAGATCTCCGGTGATTTTATACCAAGCTCAAGCTCAGATGAACCGCAGCTTATTACTACAATTTGTAATATGACAAATATATTTTTGTAGGTAAGCTATAAAGAGGAAAATAAATATACGGTAATATCCATTTTTAAGTTATTTGGCATTGAAACATTCTTTACATTTTGACATTCTTTAGTAGCGGGATCTAATGCTACTTGGTACTGTACAATGTATACAGACTGCGTGACAAATGTTTGTCATTATGAAAGTTGGTCATTTGCATACAAAAGAACTTCTTATGTGCTTGAACCCGGACGCTTCAAGACAGAAACCAAACTGGGAAATGATTTCAAATGTAGTTTAGCATTTATTTTAATTTCATTATTTCAAATATTTCATCGAAATCATAAAAATTAAATGAAAAAAAACAACCTGAACATACAACTTTTGAGCAACAAACAGTGAATCAGTTAGTACGAGCGTCTAGGTAACATTGAAAATTGCCATAATCTTTAATGATAATTATGATGATCCCTACAAATCTTAAAAACCTAGACGGTTTTCACGAGTGTGCAACTGCCGAAACGAGTACACCGTGAATGGAGGTCTGTAAGAAATGGACGAGCGTTTAATAACTCACTATAGTGGCAGGGCCAGAGATTACGAATTAGCAATTTGTTCGCCTCATGGAAAATTGCTTTTCGATTCAAAGTTTAATAGATTGTATTTGTAGCATGAACTTCAGTAACATCTCATATCATAATGACAAGGTCCCAGGAGAAACTTGAGGGACAGCGTGATAGCTCAATGGTTAAAGGCGATGACTGGCAATGACTGGGTTCGATTACAAAGAGATCTCCGCCTATCATATGCAATGTGTATGATGCGTGATTTGCACGCGTATTCATGTACGCTGTGTGTGTTTGTCGTTGAAACCTCTGAAGCAACCTCAAAAGAGAGAGAGAGAGTAACCTTTTAACCTTTAACCTTTATCACACGAACGTGTTATAAGTCAGAAATGAACGAAAATAGCTACAAAGCAAAATCAACTTCCAAATTTACTAGCGCATAATTTTGCACGCTGAAAATCTACTACTTTGTAGGTAATACAAAAATTACTTATTGGAAAAAGATTTAAAACACTGTCATACAGCTTGCTCTACAAAAACTTCCAAATGTATTTGTAGGAGATTAGACTTTGGTGTCTTGAGAGTGCTCTCTTAAGTTTGCAATACGTAAAAATAATGATCGTTTCGTTTGTCGTATGCACATTTTATAATCGAGCAGAAACAGATTAAGATCTTCTGATAATGGAGAACTCGCGATCTAAAAGGACAAATCTTCACGCTTTGGGAAAAGGAAGAGTTTCTGCGTCTGTCAGATCCTGAGAATAATAAAACAAAATGTAATTCAATTAAATCGTTTATTTGACATTTGACATTTTTATCTCATCAAATCATAATGATATATGAGCGGATTTAAACAAATAAAAAAATTCAAGGTTCACAAACAAAATATAATGTATGCTGTAGGATATTTCAAAGAGTAATTATAATATTTCAAAACCATAATTATAAATTATAATATTTTAAAATCCTAATTATAAATTATAATATTTCAAAATCCTAATTATAATTTAGCTGAGAAATCATTCTCAAAAAGTTTTCTCGGCACGTTTCAAGTCTTCTCCACCATCAACATCTCCTTCATGGACATCATCATCATCAACACCTCCACCATCATCATCATGATCATCATGATCATCATCACCATCATCACCACCACCATCTTCTCCATCATCATCCTCATCACCACCATCATCAGCATCATCATCAACCGCATTGCATTCGTCATTCTTCATTTGTTATTTGATGTAAATGACCTATGTAAATTCTTTCTTATTTCCTCTCTCCCTCTCTCTTTCTATCCTTTTTTCTTTCTCTCTCTCTTTTTTTATTCTCCTTTCTCTCTTTCTTTTTCCCTCTCTCTCTCTTTCTCTCTCTCTCCCTCTCTCTCTCTCTTTCTCTGCGCTTATAACTCTCTTTTTTTATATCCACACTTCTCTTTCTTTCTCTCTTTCTCTAATTCTCTCTCTCTCTCTTTCTCTCTCCCTCTCTCTTTATTTCTCCCTCTCTTTCTCTCTCTCTTCTCTCTATTTTTTCTTATTAATTCAATGCCCGTTATCATCTTCTTCAATCCTCATCGTCATCGCCTTCCTTGAATTACACCATCCTCTTTATGTCATCGTCAATACCACCATCAACATTACCACCACCACTACCACCACCACCACGACCACCACCACCACCACCACACTACCACCACAACCACCACAACCACTATCACCACCATCATCATCATAATCAGTACTATTGTCTTCCTGCTCATCATGACCATGATCATCATCATCATTATGATCATCGTCGTCATTGTCATCATCATCGTCATCATCCCCATCTTCCTCTACCATCATCATAATCTTCTTCTCCATCATCTCCTTCATAATCATCATCATCAACGCCACAATCATCATCATCATCAGCAGCAGCACCACAATCATCACCACCACTATCCTCCAGTA